CCTTGTGAATGAGTAAGGGGTATTTGTACCCCTACCCATTCACTAAAGGGTTAAAATTCAAAGTAAATAAAGAAATATAAAGAAACCACACTTTTAGAGAAAATCCTTTAATTGAAAAAAAAGCAAGAGTCAATTTCTGACTATTCCTTTAAGCAAAAAATAAATAAATGGCTCATGTGGATGGCCGGGTGCGTGTGTGTCCCTTTTCTGGGGAAGAGATGGCACCAGGGTGCACTATGGGAAGAAGACAAGCCAGCAGAGGCAATGTTCTGCTCGGAATCCTGCCATTCATGTGGATGTTACTTTGACAAGTACCACCTAGCTAAACATTGTTTCTGACCAAGTACACCCCTTTATGGAAATGGTATTCCCTGATTGCAGTGACCTCTTTCAGCAGGATAATGTGCCCTGCCACACTTCAAAAAATGGTTCCGGAATGGTTTGAGGAACACAACAATGAGTTTGAGGTGTTGATCTGGCCTCCAAATTCTCCGGATCTCAATCCAATTGAGCATCTCTGGGATGTACTAGAAAAACAAGTCTGATCCATGGAGGAGCCACCTTACAACTTATTAAAGGATCTGTTACTGATGACTTGGTGCCAGATACCACAGCATACCTTCAGAGGTCTAGTGGAGTACATGCCTCCATGGGTCAGGGCTGTTTTGGCAGCAAAAGAGGGAGCTACTCAATCTAAGTCCTTATTCACACCTGAGTGACATCAAATATGTGCATTTTCAGCGCATTTTGTGTAGCACGTTATTGCGCCTTCTTTGCATATTTTTGAGCCTTTCCATTGAAGTCTATGGGGCCAAGAAGTGCAGAATCTGCCAAAAAGAAACTCATGTATTTTTTTTCAGCGACAGGCGTTTTGCTTCAAGCGACGAAACACTCATGCGTGAACGTGGCCATAGAAGTGAATAGGAATTTTCTTTAGGGTGTGAATGAGGGCTTAGGTGGGTGGTGATAATGTTATGTCTGATTGGTGTACACACATACATGTAAATATACAAATGAAACACCACGAGGTGTGTACAATATTCAAGCTTGTCATTGAGATTAGACATTGGTCTGATCTCAATTACATCTATTCTGTGGGTTCAGGTACAGCAGGCAGCTCTGCGGGTCAGTGAGAAGCAGCTGCAATGAGGCTGATCGGGCAGCAGGGGGCACTCGACTCTCACAGTCACCGCTCTGAGAAGTGAGTCTCCTCCCCCCACGTGCCGGCTCCCAGGTCTACCCGCGTTTCCGGCGCCCCGCCCCCTCCTGTCTCTCCCCCCGTGTGTGTCCGCAGCTGCAGGGACGGATTCATCATGGCCGCCTCCAAGCCCGTGGAACCGCAAGGCGGGCCCGGGATCCCGCACTGGAAGCTGGCCCTGGCCGTGGGGGCCCCGCTGCTGCTGGGTGCCGGGGCGGTGTACCTATGGAGCCGGCACAGGTCCAACAAGAGGGACAGCCAGAGGAAGACACCGGAGGGAAGGGCCAGCCCGGTGCCCAGCGGAGGAGGCAGCAGCGCCAACCCGGAGGCCAATCCCCCGCCGGAGATGGTGAGAGCAAGGGGGAGGGGAGTAGATAGACATGGCTCCCGGGAAAGTGAAAGTGAAGGCTGAGTGCAGGAAGTATGGAGCGTGCACTGACATGTGTCCTTGTGTGCCTGCACTGGGGAGACATCATCACACCCGGCAGCTGAGGGCTGTCATCACTGGCTCGGGGGGGGCTCAGGGTTCATGGTTACAGTCATAGGTATACTCAAGATTTTTTTTTTTATCATGAAGCACCTTTTCTTGTAAATGAAGGTTTGTCATTTATTAATGTGATCTGCCCGGGGAGGATGTCACATCCACCATGACAAAGAGACCTACAACTCCCATCATTGAATGGGGAATGTAGCGCATGATTGACAGGTGCACAGACCAATGGGGGCAGATTGTGATCTGTGGCAGTTGTACCCGCCCACATGAGGAGGCATGGCTTAACACAGGCTTCTCCTTCACAAGACTACAGCAAGGAGGTCATGTGACCGCATCCCATTTCTACAGGGGGAGAGAATGGAGGCGCCCGGCCGCCTAAACGCAGAGCTTTTCCATCACTTCCTGTTCTTTAGATCCAACAGGAAGTAAGGGGATATCTTTCCAATGTAAAGGGAAATTCCCTCTTTAGTGTGTGTCCCCATTGGGAGATTTCTCCTCTATTCCTGTTCTAGTGGCATTTTGGATTTACCCATCACTTTCATTCCCAGTGACATTGGTGGTCAGGACAGTTTGGGAGAGTGATGATCCAATATGAGGACACAACAATGATAATAAAGAGACGGCAATAATTACCTGAAACACTATAAAACAAAACATTTTGCCTTTAGTTACACTTGAAGGAGTGGGCAGACTCCAACTCTCCAGCTTTGGTGATGCCTACGAATCCCATGATGCATCTGTCTCTGGGAGTTATGCCTGTGGCTGTGTGACTCATGCAATGCCTCATGGGATTTGTAGTTCCACAATGGCTGGAGTTTGCCCACCCCTGCTTTAAAGCCTCATTCCAGGCAAAATATGTTCCCCAAGCAAGCTTCTTTTTTTTTTTTTTTCCTTACCTGATGTAAGACATACAGACCTTAGTACCATGACCAGGTCCCTTGTTGGCGCTCTAAGTGCAGACCGCTGGTCCTCCATCTTCCCTTTGTGCTGATGGCAGTCCTTTGCTGGAACTTGAGTCGCCTGCCACTGGACAGCCAATAGGGAGTGTCTACGTCACAGAGACAATGACATGAGCTCCTGAAGGAAAGACCCCGAGGGAAGAAAAGTCAGAAAAAGGGAAGCAGACTCAGGACCTGAGTGTCACATGACCATGGCTTTGGGTAAGTAAATAGAGCATTTAGATGGGAAATGGGGGAGGGGTTATAAAAACTGGAGCGTGGCAACCAATCAGCTTCTCTCTTCAGTTTGATCCGTCAAGCTTTGAAACTGCTCCAGTTTTTATGAATTCCCACCTAGAGAGGGGGGGGGTTTATTCTAGTGGTCAGTTTTTTTTGGGGGGGGGCTTTGTTAGGTCTGTCCCAGAGATGGACTTTCAGAAAGGAAGAGCAAAGTTTACTATGTTCTCAGTGTGTGCGTTGTTTGAGTTGTTTTGCTTTAGGCCTCATTCACACTGACAGTGTCAAACCTGCGTTTGTCATAACACATGTGCTCGAAACAAAGGCTTGGCATTGCTTTTTAATGGTAAAAACAAAATTAAAACACTGACCTGCTGCACCAGGGGTAGGCAACCTTGGCACTCCAGCTGTGCTAAAACTTCAAATCCCATCATGCTTCTGCCTCTGGGAGTCATGCTTGTTGTGGCTGTCAGTCTTGCAATGCCTCATGGGAATTGTAGTTCTACTATTGCGGGAGTGCCAAGGTTGCACACGCCTGTGCTGTAGATTGGTGGTGAGCGGGACAGTGTTTACATCTGTGTTTCAGCCCGGCCCTGTGCTGCAGATTGGTGGTGAGCAACATTTGCTAATTTCTTATCCTGCTGGCAAGAAAAGTTCATTACTCGATAGACGTTTTTTTTAGGAGCCGGCCCCAACAATGACTGCAGCCAATCGGCTGCAGCTGACATTTGAGTATTCGAACAGTGGCAGACTTCTGTTTTCAAATAGTCTGATGGGAAGCGGTAGTTCCTCCATTCATGTTTAGCATAGATGGAGGAATCTGTTAAGCTGGCCATACACTATATGCATTTCAGCTGGTTGTTGGACTGTCCGAAACTCACACAGTGGGTGCCGCTGTCGGCATCCTTTTGGCCGGTATCCCGCAATCAGCTGATCGAAGGAGCCGCTCGGAAAATCTTCCAAAGAACAGAGCCAGTGTTCTGTTGACAGCTCCAACTCGTCGAGATCTCGGACTTGTGACGTCACATCCGGTGACTAGCCAGTAGGAGATTTAGACCAGATGGCGTTGGTGTGCGAGCCGTGACACTGTTAGGATCCTGATTTAGTTATCTAACTCGTGTCGCTGCGCCTGCACAGTTTCACAGTCCCCATCATGCTCCCCAACCACCGTCAGTGCGCCTGCGCTGTTACCGAAAAGCAGAATCAAGTCCTCCACATAGCGTTGGCGCACCTGTGCGCTCATCTGATGGTACAACATTCTAAAAGATTACATGTTTTGCCATCACATGGGCACGCTTTTGGGTGACTGCGCAGGCGCACTGACAGGGGTTGGAGGACATGATGGGAATTGTAAAGCCGCGCAGGTGCAGTGACGGGAGCTCAATCACTCGATTAAGATTCTAATACTGGCACGGCTGGCGCACAAGTGCCATCTGCTCTAATTTGGGTACTGGCAAGTCACCAGATATGATGTAACCAGTCGGAGATTTCGATGAGTTGGAGATTTTCACAGAACACCAGCAGCCAATGAGCTATGTCTGGGTATCCTGACATCGGCGGCCGTCAGAATCCAATGCAAACAGCAGGAGATTCCTCGATCAACGCTTAGAAAGCCTGGATGGGGAATCTGTTATATTTGCTTTGCTCAGCCCACAAGTTGAAGGAAGAAAATATTAGTGTTTGGGCAGCTTTAGGCTGCATTCACACTGGAGCGGCTGTCCGCACGTATTCCGCTGTACGAATATGCGCGGAGCTGCTCTAAATAGAGAAAACCATGCACTTTAATGTGCATTGTTCAGACTATTGCGGTGACCCCGCGGACCGGATCCGCGCAACCCCCAAAATAGTGCAAGCGCAATAATACGGCAGATTCCGCACTTTCGCGGATATATAATAGCCACAAACGAACGGCATTGGTGTGGATGAAACATTTGAGTTTTCGTCCTGCATGGAAAACTGAGCCGGAAACTCTATAAGTGAATCGAGCTTTAGATTCCTTTTGTTCCACCTGCAGGCTAGTGTATGGCCAGCTGTAGAAGATGGGGCACCGTATGTATTGTCATTGGCAGGTTTGGGTTGCCCCTCTGATCGCCCCTGTATTTCACCCTGACTTGTCTCTGGTCAGACCCGTGTGTTGTAGTAATACATAAATCTGGCAGCAGTGTATTGTGGTGCCATTCATTTTAAAGGGCAATACATCTTCCTAGCAGACCACAATGTGCACATGTTTCAGAAGAGCACATCTGTGCATTAAAAGCTGCATTGTGGTCTGCACACTGAATGGTGTACTCCGGGTACAGACGTGTTGTGGGGCTTTGTGCTGCCGTATGTAAATCTGCTGCAGACTCAGCTGTTATCTCATTTGTCTTTTCCCTGTGACCTTGATGGGTCACTACATCCTCGGGCATGGTTTGTGCTGGTGAACTTTGACCCGGAAGATAACAGGGTTGTGTGCAATGTTAGGCATTTACAGACACACCTATTCTGTATGGAGGAGTGCAGAGCAGCCAATCGGAGGAATCTTTCCTCTGATTTCAGTAAACCTAAGTGTGGATGTTGGGGGTTACTGTAGTTTGCATTCAGCTTTGTTCTTTACGTTTTTTTTTTTTTTTTATATCAGGAGTTAAATCTTAAAAATGTATTCGAGGACCTTAACTTTTAACAAAAATGTCTCTTATTTGTCTATCACTCGGTTGTAGATCCTCAAATCATCTCTGAATTTATGCTGACACTGTCCTTCCTTCTGGAGGGTGGCTACTTTTGTTCCCCATGCTCCCTGTGTGTGTTGTAGTCACTGCTCCAAGATCACTCCTGTGATGGACTACAATTTACATTTGGTATTGAGATTGTAGTCCATCACAGGAGTGATCTCGGAGCGGCGGCTACTTTACAACATGCATGGGGGACAGAAGGGCAATGTGACCATGCTTCATGTTATGCATGTATGTGGGGTGGACAAAGCCTTTAAAGCGAGTCATTGCATATCATGTCAGACATTTGTCCATTCTCCAGATGATTGGGGCTCAGATTTGCGGTGGGGTCTCCTATTTTACTGTATATACATGCACAGTGAGCCGATCATTCCATTGATTCAGCTGATGGACGTTCATCCTCTCACCCTCTGTAAAGGCTGTGTAAGGCTCATGTCACACGGGTGAACTCGTCACCAGGACACTTGGCTTCAGAATTCGGGAAATGCCACTTCATTACTCTCTCCCCTGTGCAGTCTTATCTCTCTTGCCGATGAATTGTACAGCTGACAAAGTATCACCATGAACTGAAATGTCCATCTGACATGGTCCTATACCGTCCCTGACAATTTCTACAGGCTTCCACCTTCCACACGTACCTGGGTGCAGGGAATGTGGTGACTGTCGCAGGAAAGGATATCTATGTGGTTGTCCCTGCCTGAACTCTTTGACCACGTGCTCTGGTAGATCTGTATACCTACATCTGGAGGCAGCATGGAGCCGCTATATCACACTGCTTGTTCTCTCCCATAGCAGCTCTGGTGATAGGAGATGGTGGTGATAGTTTAGGGTTTGTGCACACAGTGTCCATTCAGCTGGCTGTTCTGCACACGGGCTGCACATGTATGGTGTGAACAGGGCAAGTAGAAAACAATGGTTCACTATGTGCCCTGTGTGACACAGGGCGTGACGCCAAACGTGCAGAAAAACG